GCCGGATTTCTCTGCCTGCCCATGCTCGCTCAGTGGTCCCTATAAATAAATCCATATGTGCTGGCTGCGTGCATGGCTGGCCATGGCTAAAAGTGCACCCTTGGCCGCACTTTTATTTAAAAGTCCCCAGTTTTGGGGGGGGGCAATGCGTCTTCGGAGTAGTGCACACCCCCGGCACACGGCCCAGCACTGGGGGCTCCCCCCGCAGTTTTATTTCCAGGGGAAAGTTGGGAGTAGAAATCTTCAAGCTGCCAGATTAACACTAAAAATTTAAACATAATCATAATATATTTTTAAAAAATCCTCGAATTTCCGATTCTCGACCCACTTTCAGCTTGTTTAAGTTCCTGATTCTGTAAGAAGGGGAGAGATGCCGAGAGGGGGGTGAAGGGTTCGGGTTTTTTTTTTTTTGGGGGGGGGGTGGGCTGCTATAAATCACCCCTCGTTTCCCACCTTCGGGTGGGCGCCTTCCGCTGCTCAAATCCGTGTTTTATGGCTGCGGGGGGGGGGTGGGTGGGAGGTGTTTGGGCCCCTGGGCTGTTCTGCTGGTTTTCACCCAAACTGGTGGTGCTGCTGAAGGCAAGGGGGTGCGCAGCACCCCCAGGTAAGGCGGGGAGGGGGGGGGGCACAAGAGCCCCCAGAGCTGGGGCTGGGCGCTGAGTGGCAGCTGTCAGCAGAGCGGAGCCGGAGCTGGCAATGGGAAACACATGGAAAAGGATAAAAGTTTGGGGGAATGCTTTGGAAAAGCCCCCTGACAGCCCCGGCGGGAGAAATTGGAATTTTGTGCCCGAGCAGCGTCGTTTTCCCCGGGTGCTCCTTCCTCTTCCTCGCGGGGCCAGGTATCAAAAAGTGTCAGCAAAGCATCAAACTCCTCGAAAAGAAGGGGAGGGAAAAAAATCCCAAATCCGCGGCTGAAGCTATTTTTAGTGCGAGAGTTTCGGTAGCAGCTGAAGGATCTGGAGCAAAGGTTTAAGAGGGAAAATAAAAAACAAGTTTCCTTTGGGGGATACAGCTAAATATTCCTTCTGGCGCAGGGAGCGCTCCCACCTCTCCCCTCTGCTGCATCCCAGCGTATCCATTACATGGCTCGGGAAATTATGCGATACATATGTTGGATTAGAGAGCAAGGAAAATGTTAATTAAGACATGGGAGGAAAAGTTAATCATTTACAAAGCAGTATTTAATTCCCTACACAGAAAGGGATGATTTATTTATTTACCTATTATTTATTTTGCTCACTCCACAAGCCTGGAGCTTGTCCCATGCACATCTATTTCCCAAGGAAAAAAAAAATCACCCCAAAACACTACCAGCACGCTTTTTTTTTTTTTTTTTTTTCCTTTAAAAAGAGACGAATCCGGCTGCACTGAAGCAGACACCCAAACAGGCAGGAAGAGGTGATATTTGAAAATTGCTACCAGCATCCCCACCGCGGCTGCTGGCTGTTTGGAAAGGAAATTCGAGTCTTTCACTTAAAGAAAAAAAAAAAAAAAAAAAATCCCCAAAATGTTTAGCTTGGTACCTTGCCCATCAAAATTAATCACGGCGACAGATTAGGAAGTACATAAAACTATATCTCTGGATAATGATATACGAGAGCACAATAAATAAAAGTTGCACGTTGGAGGTGCTGTCAGGGCTGGGGCGAACCAGTAACTCACTCGTTTAACCCCGGCTGCGTCTTTGCCTTTTAATCCCAATTAACGCCGGGGAGGACGAGTTTGCAGCTCCGGAGCCCGGCTGCCAGAGCACCCGCAGCACGGCCCCGGGGCAAAGCAGGGGAATCCCGCACGAAAATGAAAAGGAAAAGGGGGAAAAAGTTCTCCTCCGGCCGCAGGCACCTCGCTGGGGGCCGCTTTATCGCCCCGCAGCATCTCTCTGATTTTTTTCCTTTCCCATTTTCTCGCCGCCTCGGCGTACAAAGACTTCCTGGCGGGTTGATTTATTTATTTATTAATTATTATTTTTTCCCCCTTTTTCTGGCCACTGAAGCCCTTCGCAAAAACGGCTTCCCCAGCCCTCCTGCAACCCAACCCGAGCCCTTCGCGAAGCTGCTTAAAAAGAGAGGGGAAAGCGAAATCCAGCTCGGGGAACCGCTGCAACTTCGCGGGCAACTTCCAAGCAAATTGGGCTCCAGGAACATGAAAGAGGCAAAAGAAAAGCCACCGAACCCAACCTGACCTCAGCTCTTAGGCTGAGCCCCCAGAAACACGTCGGTGCTGGGGAGTTTTATAGCCCCGTAATCAAAGTGGGGGGAATTAACCGAGCAGGAACAATGCAGCAGCCGGGGAGGGGGGGGGACACATCCTGCAGCAGGACCTAGAGGTGCCAGGGCCAGCCCTGGGCCCTATAGCCTGGGGGTGAGCAACCCCTGCTTCTTCTTGGGGGGGGGCACACCTTCCTTCCAGCCTTTTGGCTGTCTGTCCGGCCGGCTGTCCATCTGCAACCCCCCCATCCTGCCCACCTCTGCCCACCTCGCCCTGCAGCAGCCCCCTTTCCCAGCCCACCCCAAAACCTCTGCTCCTGGCCACATCCCAATAAACCCCTCCAATAAAAAAAATAAAAAATAAAAGAATAAAAAAAAAAAAGAACTTTCCGGGGCTCACTTTTTGCTCGGGTTTGGTTACGTTATATTATTTTATTATATTTTATTTCTTTTATTTCTCTTTTTCTTTTCTTTTTTTTTTTTTTTTCCTTCTACTTACGTGGCTGGGAGCGCTCCTGGGCCAGCCGGGAAGCGGAGCAGCACTGGAGGAAAAGAGGGAGAGAAGTTTGGCCGCCACTTCCCCCTTCTCTCCCCTTTTTCTCCCGGCTTATTTCGGAGAGGAGACAATGCCACAACACGCACCGCATCCCCCCCCAGCCCCCCCGTGCTCGAAAACCCACAAAGCCGCTCACCAGCGCTGCTGCTGCCTCTCAAGCTGGGGCCGCAGACACAGAGGGAACACGGGGGGAGAGGCAGCGGGTCAGGAGGGCTCCGGGGTCAGCCTCCTCGCCTCCAAAGGAGCTGCTGGCACAGAAAAGTTGGCCTCTCCATGAACCCAGTTTTCCCGTTTACCCCAACTTCAATAAAGTTTCTTTCAGCCTCCCTCCATGGAGGCGTCAAGAGGCTGCGAAGGGACAGGGGCGGCCGGGGCTGTTGGCAGCCAGCAGCTTTTTTTTTTTTTTTTTTTTTTTTTTTCCTACCCCCCCCTTCTCCTTCACACCCCTCCGACCCTATTTTTTAAATTTATTTTTCATTTTTTTTCCCCCACCTCCCTCGCCTTGTGTCACGGCCAAGTGCCGGGACTGGGGTGGGTGGCGGGGGCAGAGAGGTGCCAACAGGGACAGGGGCGCTGCTCCCCCCTACCCCGGGTGCTACCCCCGCACCCCTCCCGAGAGCTGGCTGGGAGAGGTAGGGGGGCAGCACCCCCAGTAACCCCCAAACTAACCCACAAACCCCTCGTCCCCAAAAAAGAGGGAGAAATCCCACTTTGGGACCATGCTGCTTCCTCCCCATCCTCCTCCAGCGCTTCCCCCCCATCACCCAGGGGACTGGGGGGGGGGGCTGAAATTTGGGGAGGATGGGGGGGATTTGCACCCTTTCCTCCGCAGCTTTTCTGCTGTTTCAAACCTCCCTCTCTCCCCTCCCTGGTGCCTTTTTTTTCCACCACATTTTTTTTCCCCCCCTCTCTGCTTTGATTTCCTGTCTGTCCAGGAGGATATTAAAAATAAACCACGGCACGGGCCGAGCCTCGGGGTGCTGTTTGCCCATGGACTTTTGATTTTGATTCTTTTTGGACGGGTTTGGGCTTTTTCGGGCTTCCCCGCCTGAGATGTGCGGGCTGGGATTTGGCTCGGAAGAGCAAAAATCCCAACCGGCTCCTCACGGGTCCCTGCTCTGGGCAGGAAACGTTGCAGGAGGAGTAATGGTGCCCTGCCGAGGTGTTTTATCTTCCCAGCCTCGTCCCTATATTAATATCACTAAAGCAGGATGTTAAAAAAAAAAAAATAGCTGATGAGCTTTACATACAAACTCCCCAGGATAAATTACAACCTTCGCTTCATCCCTTTAAAGATCCGCGTCCCCCAGCTATCACAAAGGGTTTGGAGCCCGTGATTTGTTTAATGGCAGCTTAAATCGATTTTGGAGAGAGAGAAAAAAAAATAAAATAAAATGAAATAAAGCCAGAGGAAGGTGGCTGCCAGGCTGCTCTGCCCTCAGCCCGTCCCAGGCCTCGCTCCCCAGCTCCTGGGCTTTGCAGCAGGGACCTGAGCAAACTTCCCAAAGCCAAGGCCTAAAAAAGAGGGGGCCCAGCCCCAGACCCTCTCCGGGCCCCCCCTGCCCTGCCTGGGAAGCATGGACCCCCTGCACCTTCTCCTAAAATCCCCCCTTGCTGCCAATTTGCATGCTTCCTCCAAAGGCCAGGAGCGATGAATTACAGTTATTAGCACTATTACTACCATTATTCTCATTATTATTATTGTTATTGTTATTATTATTATTTAACAGCCTTTTCATTGCCTCTCCAAATTCAATAGGACCTCTTGGCTTTAGGGGCTGAACGAGTCAACAAGAGCACGCCACGACAGCAAAAGAAAATAATAATCATCATAATAATAACAATAATAAGAATAACACACAGGAGAAAACTTCAAAGCAGGGAGAAGAGATAAAACCAGACAATTTTACGTTGGGTGGCAAGAAAATAAAGAGGTATGAACGGAAGCTAACCCCAATCCACAGCACTGCCCTTGTCTGAAAACCAGATTTATTTTTTTTTCCCCCATATTTACAGGTTGGGAGGGTCTGAGATTTAAAGTCACTGGCCACGTCGTGATGTCATAAAATCTGGAGTACAGAGTTATCGTTATGTTTGCTTAAACTTAACTTAAGCAGTAACTGGTGCACATGGGATCCATTGCACATCGTCCCAGCATTTTATTATCCTTATTACTATTATTTTGGGGCGGGTTAAGGGGGAGATGTGAGGATAAAATAAGTCACCAGACATAAAAGTAAAACTAATTCACACTGACTGGTTTATTGAACACTGGGACTTTCACATACACACTAAAACTCTTTATTGCAAGTTTACAATGATCATGTAAAATCAGTCCAAAAACACAAATAACCACGACAAAAAAAAACCTAGCTACTGACTTTTTAAAACCTTCTTCTGCTTTTATTTTTAAATATGTCACTCTTTCTTTCTCTCTCTCTCTCTCTCTCATTTTTTTCTTCTCAATTTCTCAGCAAAGACTCGTCCACCCTTGTGTGCTGTTTCGTATCTGGTTTTTGTTTGTGGGGTTTTGTTTTTGTTTTTTTTAAATCGTGATTTTTTTAAGCTTATTTCACATTTCTACAAAAGAACTTCATAGCTCCTTCGCTCATTGTGCATTTGTAATGCGGAGGGAAAATATACCTACATTCGCCTGTTTTTTGTTTGTTTGTTTTGCCGTCAATATTATTCTCATTTCTTCATTAAATTCATCTAAACAGAACATTTACCTCTTCCTCCCCCCCGCCCTCCCCCTCCGCCCCCCATCCCCCCGGCTTTAAAAAATAAATAAACCCCTGAAATGGCGTAAAAAAACCTGCAGGTACAGACACCTGGCCTCATGCTATCTGACATGCATCTACAGCCCGTGGTCTTGGGGAGACCCATTGTTTTTTATACGCGCCGAAAAAATAATAATAATTATTATTATCATTTAAAAAAAAAAAAAAAAAAGAAAGAAAACGAACCTACGAGGGAAAAAGGGGAGGGAGGGGGGGAACGGAACCAAAATATATATATATATATATTAGCTTCTATAAATAATCCAGAGTCATTTGTGGGCGGGTGGGGGTGTTTATAACCTGGTGATATCCTCCGGGCGCGGGTCCTGCGCGGCGGCGGGGGGCAGCTCCTCGCCCCCGGCCGTGCTCGCCGGGGCGGCGGGGGGGGGCGCCGCGGTGGCCGCCGCCCGCACTTTGGTGTTGGGCAGCCTGTGGTCTTTTTTCCATTTCATCCTCCGGTTCTGAAACCAGATTTTGATCTGCCGCTCGGAGAGGCAGAGGGAGTGGGCGATCTCGATGCGCCGCCGCCGGGTCAGGTACCTGTTATAGTGAAACTCCTTCTCCAGCTCCAAAACCTGCTGCCTCGTGTAGGCTGTCCGGGAGCGCTTGGGCTCGCCTCCATTGTAATTGGGATTCACTGGAAAGGAGGGAGAAAAGAAAAAAAAAAAAAAAAAAAAAAAAAACACAAGGAAAAATTAGCATGAATGGAGAGAGAGGGACGGGGGAGAGGGAGAGAGGCGACTGGAGGAGCCGGGAGAAGAAAGTAATAGGCTAAATAGGTAATAAAGAACTTTGGGCAGCTCAAGAGTTTCTATTCTAATAGGAAGGGGTTTCCCTGGCTCAAAAGACTGAATTATTTATGCACCCCTTACAAAGCTTTCGGAGTTTCACACATACATAACAGAACGAGCCACATGGCTAAGGCTGCCCACAGTAGCTCGGCTATAAAATTTATGGTGGGTGTAATTACCCATTCGGAGTCGTAAATCCAGTTCAATTGTGCTAACCCAAAGACTCTCATGGAAGGGAAGGAAATAAAAAAAAAAAAAAAAAAAAAAAAAAAAAGGAGAGAGGAGAGAGCGAGCGAGCGAGCATGGTGTGAAAATAAGAGAGCAGAGAGACAGAAGAGGAAAATAAAAGTTGCATACCAGTACTGACGTGGATTTTTTTCATCCAGGGATAGACTATGGGTTGTTTGGAAGCTGTGCTGTTAGGATGGTCGGGGTTTGGCTGGTTGCAGGCTGGAGGGGCTGGGGAAGGAGTGGTGGAGGAGGTGGAAAGAGCAGCCTGCTCGCAGAGCTGCTGTGCTTTCTCTGAGAGGTGTTGGCCTCCTGGAGTTTGCCCGTGTCCCCTTTGGTGCGCGGCCGGGTTGCCGGGAGCTTGGATACTACCGCAGCTGAACTGGCGGTCGGGGAAGGAGGGTCGTGGCACGGGGTACAGCTCCTGGTGGTGATGCTGGTAGCTGGACTCCCTTGTCCGGCTATAATATTCCGGACTGTGGTCTGGGATGTAATTATTTTGCGAATATTCCTCGCATGGAGGAAATTTCGGATCGATGTAGTTAGAGTCCATCAAATAAGAGCTCATGATCATTAATTTCTGGAGTGGAAAATAATTTTTCTCGCTTTGTCGTTTTTCTGCTCCATAAAGCCCTCCTACTAGCTGGCGACCCCGTAAAGTTACTTTCACCATGTGACTCCCCCGGCCAATCACACCCGCCAGCCCAGTCCCCGGATAAGGAACCAAAAGCTTTTGCAAAATGTACCCAAATTGGGGGGGGGACGACGGGAGTGGGAGTGGGAGAGAGGGCAAGGCTCGGGGTGCACTGCTCCACCCGGGGAGCCCGGGGGGGGAAGCCCCTGGGGCTCCCCCCCCCCCCCCCCCGGTGTTGTGGGGTGGGAGGTGGGGGTGTGGGAACAATGGGGGACCCCACAAAGGGAGGGGGGAGGAGGGGGAATGTGGGGGGTTGGGGTTGAAGGGTGTCCCCCCCCCACACCCGGAATGTGGGTTGGAAACAACGAGCCCCCCCCCCCGGATGTGGGGGTCATGGTGTCCTGGCCGGCGCTGCGTTGACCCTGTAGCCCCCCCCCAAAAAAAAAAATCCTGTCCCCCTGCAACCCCCAGCTCCTTCACACCCCCCTTGTTCCTTATCCCCACCCGGGGAAGGGACAGGGCATTCCGGGGGGTTGCCCCCACCCACCCACCCACCCACCTCCACTCCAGAGTGGAAAGGGTTAAGCACTGCCAGCATCTTTTTTTTTTTTTGGGGGGGGGGTGCGGGGGGCACAAGTTACCTGCAAGGTAGAAGCGGGCATGCAGATCCCACGGGTGTTAGTGACCCTGCTTCAAGCTGGGGGCGTGCAAGGACACCCCCCCTCTGCCTACACAAACAGGGACCCCCCCGAGCCCCCCCCACTGCAGGCAGCAGGGGGGGACCCCTCCCCGTGCTCCCCAAATCCCCTCCTCTTTGCTGAGCCCCACCGCTTTGGGAGCAGAGAGGGGTTTTGGGGGGGCACCCTGCTTTCCCCTCGACCCTGGGTGCTGCAGGTAGGGGACACCCGGGGGGGGGGGCACACGGGGTGCCACCCCCCCACGCGTGTGCAACACGCAGGCCGCTTTGCCCTTGCACCGGGCATTTTACCTGCTGGCTCTCAAGCTGGGGAGGGGGCTCCTGAGGATTTTTTTTGGGGGAAAAAAAAGAAGGGATGCGTTAAAAAATGGCTCCCAGCGCCCAGCTGGCAGCCCGCAGAGCCGCCCCGGGCAGGTTAGGGAGCTGCAAATGGATGTCAACATTTTTGGGAGGGTTGTAGCTCCCTCAATTAGGGCTTTTTATCTACGGCTCGTCCTAAAGAGAGGGGCAGAGAAGGGAGGTGGGGTATTCCCTCCTTGTGCTTGATAACAATTATAGTTGAAAATCATAGCTTGCAGGGCATTGCCATATTTTACTTGATAACAATAAAAGTGACACATAAAGTTAACTGTTTATGTTTTATTTATTAGACTAAATGTGCCAGCGGTGTCGAAGGCTTTTGGCTGGTTGTTACAGCTTTTTATGGGGTTGTAAAACGCCATAAATCAGTCACTGCGAAATGGTCGGGGCTCTTTGTGCTCTTGGCTGAGAGTTGTGTTTGCGGTAGCTGCTGTTTCTTCTGGAGATGAAAAGTAATAATGGGATTTTATTTTGATTATTATCACCCCCCCCCCCCCCCTCCCCAATCATCGCGGTGATTTCGCTCTACCTTTTTAACAAGCCCGCTCCGGCGCTGCCCTGGCAAACGGCAAACGCTGCTTTGCACTTGAATAACTACCTTTTAAAATGACATCAGCAGGATTTGAGGATTTAATTAGAACCGCTGCAATTAAAGGGAATCAAAGGAAAGCACAACTTTCCAAGGCTCTGGCATCGCCCATATATTCCCCTAGAGACGAATTTGTGACTTGGAGACGCTCACACAAATTCGAGCCTACAGGGTACATATAGGCGACGGGAGGGCTGGGGCCGGGGCTGCGGGCTGGGGGGGGCGGCTAGGCCCCCCCCCAAAAAAAAAGCCTGCCCCGGCCGGGGGGGCTCTGGGGCAGGGGGCAGAGGCCGCTGCTGGACCAGGTTTGGGACCCCCGCAGGCACGGGATGCGCCTGAACCCCCCCGGCTGAGCCCCCCCCCCCCCAGACACCTCCCCCCCCCAGCCAAGCCCCGTCTGTATTTTGCCCCCACCCGGCCCCGGAATCCCTCGTTTGCTCGCTTTATTGTTGCCGAGCGTTTATGGGGTTTATTGGCAGCTGATTTGCGGGGCTTGACTAATTGCTTGCCCCGTGCGCTGACAAAGCGTGCTCCTTCCTCAAGTTGTAAATCCAGGACTTGCACAGGGACACGCTGCAGATCGGGAGCAGCAGGTACAACCCCGGCTCTTCCCAGAAGAGATGGGGACCGAAGGGGGATGGGAGCTGCGAGGTTGGGAAAAAGACATGAATAGAAATGTATTCCGGGACCCAAAACATTGATTTAAATATCTCCAATAAATTCCTTTTCTCCAGCTATACTTCATTCTGCCCAAACACCTCAGACTCATGCAGGGTTTTGACATTTATAGTTCAGACTGATGCAACAACTTTATTCCAAGGCTGAGGGAATATTGAATAAAGATGGAGAGTTAATAAAGTAATTTTTACCTACGCACATCCTTCCCCCCACCCCTTGAATATATGGTTTTCAATAAGCACCAGCAGAATAAATAAATATCCACAGGTAGTTCTCTTAAGGATATGCTGGGTGGGTTTGTTTAAAAAACAAAATAATCCGCGAAACAAACCAGCAGCAATCAAAGCATTACAAAATCCGAGGCGTGAAGGTCACCAAACGCATTCCTGCCGCTCTCCAGCCCCAAACTCCCAACTCCTTCGCCGAGCGGTGTGTGTGGGGGGGGAAACACAACTTTATTTGCCCCGGCTGCCTCCCCCCACCCCCGGACTCCCCCCAAAATTCTGGGTTTTGGAGCTCTCCGCAAGGACCTGCTCCTCCAGCCCTCTTTTGCCATCCTCCATTCATCCCCTGTGTGTGTTCGGGAGGGGGGGGCTTGCCCCCGATGTCTTACAAGTGCACAAAAAATCCTATTTTCCCCCTCTCTTTGCTTGTCTTTCCACACCACTCCCCCCTTTGCCTTTTTGCCTGGAGTTTAGAGCTCCCAGTATTTGGAGGATTTTTATTTATTTAACACTTTTTTCTTTTTTTTTTTTTTTTTCCCCCCTCTCCGTAAAATAAGTCTGCGGGGACGTGTGAAGAATAGTTGTACAAGAATCTGGCTCTTTTGTCTATAAAGCAGCCCTCCCACCGCTCTCCATCCCGCGTCCCCCCACCAGCACCGTGCCGATGAACACTTCGGGAGTGACAATACCGAGAGAGCAACGCAGCACCTCGGCAGAAAAAAAAAAAAAAAAAAAAAAAAAAGGAAAAAAAAAAAATCTGAGCTTTATTTCCTTCTCCTAGCCAGGAAGCAGGCTGCAAAATATACGTCTGGTTACCATTGCGGGGACGTTTTTAAGTACAAAGCGCCTTTTTGACAGTACTGAAGAAAAATAAGTATGCATTGTCTCTCCGGATTCATTGTGTTAGCTATTACCATACTGACCGTTTGGTAACCTGTACCTCAGCCCATTAGCAATCTGTGCTTTCCAGAAAAATGAAGTACCTATCTACTGGGGTTTTGTTATCCAATGTTTAATAATAATAGTAAAAGCAGGGTAAAAGCTCGCGCGGTATGAACTCTGCCTCCTTGAGATTCAGGAGGTGGAAATAAATTTTGGAGTGGAGTTTTATTCCGAGCATTTAAGGGCTTGTTTTGAGGTGATTATTGCACAATAAGTTACGTTAGTGGTAGGGGGAGGAAAGACGGATATATTTATATACAATCTTTTTTTTTTATTTTCAGGGGGAAAAATAGTTGGATTCTCTCTGACATAAGCAATGACATATAATTAATTAAATTTTAATTTTTCTAACAACTTGAAAGCAGTAAGTGCAAAGAGACCTTTTCTTTTTGTTCCTTCATAATGCAAATAGACAGGTCTAATTTATGCAAAGAAATATGCAAATGTTTAATTGATTTTTTCTTAAATCTGTTGTCAGTAAAAGTAATGAATCGGCCTAAAACGATTTTAATAAGCAAAGCCTGTCACCCAAAGTCCTAGCCTTCACATTTTTCTTTTGAGCCTCTTTCGTCTCAAAGAAACTAATAATGTAAATATTTATCCCTTCATTTTAAAATATTAAAGATGAATCCCTCTTGTTTGTTTGCGGGGGAAAAAAAATATATATATGCAAACCAGTTTCTCAATCTCTCCCTTCCCTCCTCCCCCCCCTCCCCTTCTCACCCCACCCAGGAATTCAATTTTCTTCAAATCTCGTTGAAAGTGGCTTTTTAAAAAGTGGGCGCATTTTAATATTGGTTAGACAGCGTGACCTGAATTTCACCTCAACTGTTTGACTTGATCCAATAGGTCACTGCCAAGGAGTTATTGATGGGGGAACTCCATTGAAATTTCTCTCCTCACAAATGGCCTTTAGATCTTCTAGCGAGTTCAATAACTAGTTATAATGTAGAAGGGGAAAAATGAAGCCCAGAGGCAAACTAATTTGATGTTTCATTTTTATGCTGGAGAAATTGTTGGTTTTTGTTCCTCTCACCTCCCGCTCTGCCCCTCTCTCCTTCTCCAAAAGGGAGGGGGAAAAAAAATTAAAAAATCCCCAAATCTGGTGTGAGCGAAGACCCCTCTCAGCCGAGCCGAGGTTTGTCTGGGATACAAATATCTTCTATTTTATTTCGCATTTAATTGGCGCTGGCGTCCAGCCCGTGACCTCCTCGGCACCCGGCGGAGCAGGGAGCCCAGCAGAAGTGTAACTTGCTGCTTGGTAGGAAACGCACTTTTTTTTTTTTTTTTTTTTTTTTTCCCAGAAAGGATTTGTTTAAAATAAATCAAAGTAGCTGGGAATCAAGTTTCTATCTCGATCCGCTCCAACTTCTCGTGCGGTTCCAAGCAGGGCTGGGGAGCTCCTTCTTTGTGCTACAGCCCTGCTCGCCAGCAACCCGAGCCCTTAAAGAGCAGCGCGGAATTGGATTTAGGCAATAAACCTCAGCTCGGCAGTCATTTTGGTCCTTGGGTTCTTATTTGTTTGCTTGTTTGCCCTGGTTCATGTGACTGCGTCTGGGCTCTTCCCTGGTTTCTTGGTCCTGGGGGGGTTCTTCTCTCCTTGGCTCCCTTTCAGATCCATTTTTAGCCTGAAAATATTTATTTATTTGCTGCCGGGGGGGGGGGGGGAAGGTCCGATCGAGCCTCCCCAGCCCGGGCAGGGGAGGCAGAGGCAGAGGCTGGAGGATGCTTTCAAGTG